CTGCCAGCGTCCGCAAACCTCGGAGTCCCCCTTTATCCGTTATGTTCCTTCTTCTTATTGTTCCTAAAGATTGACGTATAGAAACAGTTAGAGTTTTTCCCTAGAGCTTGTGACTACCTGGTCTTTGGGAGATGTTTATACTCGAGTGTTGGTTACCTATACATGTCGAGCGGCATTTTTCTATTATATAGTTATCTGTTGAAGTTTAGTTGTTAATTATTTTTTATTTCAATTATTCTGCAATTGTTAAGCTTATCTAGTCGTAGAGACTAGGTGCTGTCACAACATCTTGCGGAGGGAGATTGGGTCGTGACACTAATTAGGATACTATGTCGACAATGAATGAAGAAAAACAAAGAAGGAAATGGCAAAATAACCAGTAGCAAACAGAAGCAAGAACGTTGAACTCTGGCCGACCAATCTTGATTTAAATTCGATGGCTTCGAAATGAGTATAAACTAACATCAATCGATTGTTCTTGTTAACAACAATCGATTGATGTAAGTTTTAGGTAAAAACCGGCTATTCTTGCTGAAGATAACGAATAAGACAAAGCTAGGGATTTTCTGGGGATTTCAGATCTACGATTTGGGGAAATCTAAGGTGTTTTGAAAGAAATTAAAAGGAGGTATGGGATGAGAATGAGGTGGGGATTGTAGGGTGAGGATTTGGGGTTGTTTGGGGTCATGCCGCCAATAGAGGTTTTTGGGTGATAAAAGGCTGCTAGGGTTGAGAAATTTGAGAGAGATAAGGGAAATGGGGCATCTCTTAGGGTTTGGGGGTCAGGTTAGGACAGTTAAAAGGGGAAGGGGGGGATGAGTTCGGGGTTGTAGGATTAGATGGAATGGAGGGTGGAGATTAAACGCACCAAAACGGCGTCATTTAAGGTGATGGGAGGCTGGACCGTGTGTCTTTGGATCTAGGCTTGGGCAGTGCTGAGAAACAATTGGGTTGGGGTGGATTTCATGAACTGGGCTGCCTTTTCTCCTTTGATTATGCACAATTAACCACTCCAAACTAACACCCTAATTCGAAATCACTTTTGTAGAATTAAGCTAAATCTCTATTTTACCAGATAATTGACTAATTATTTAACTAATAATGATTAATTATTACATTAACAATGACAAATGTATTTATATATATATATATATATTTTTTTTTGTATTTTAGCGGTTTATAAACGCAATTAACAAGTAGTTTAAAGGCTAACAATGCAATTAAAACCTATCAATGTAATTCATGAACAAATAAAATATTTTTGACATTTATCATGATTTAAAGTGCTTCTAAATATGCGTAAAAATGCAAAACAAATTAACTAAGCTTAAAGAAAAATTCCTAAAATTCTATTCCAACTATTTTGAAATATTTTTAGGAGTGATATGGCATTAAGGCAAAAATTATGTGCTCCCAGCTGCCCCTATTTGCTTGAGAACATGAAGAATTTTTGGGCAAAGATAAAGGGAGCAATTATGAACAACTTTTTGCCCGTTTGACACTCCATGAGAAGCATTTTGAAAACGTTTGACCGAACCTTGCTTCAAAGGTTGCCTACATATCCTTCGCTATAGAGGAATCATGTCAGTGTAGTTCTGCAATTTTGGTAGTTGGGACTACCGAGAAGCTATGATTTCACTGATGTTGCTGTTGTTACTGCTTGCTGAACTCCTTATTACACCAAAATCAAAATGAAAAGAAACTAGACGATCCTATCAGCTATGAGTTATAAGATTTCTATCTCTAAGTCTTTGAAGCTTGATCTTGAGTCTTGGCTGGTTCTTCACACAAACTCTGGTCTGAAACGTGATGCTTGCTAGCTGCAGGTTTTAGTTCATTCTTCTACATCTTCTTCTAATCAAAACGAGACATGTAACACTCGCGACTTCAGTCATGTCTTGAGTAGTCCACAATTTTTCTTTCACTTCTGCATTTTGGGTTCTCTTTTTATTTTTCTCTTCTTTATTTTGGATTGAGACTTCTTCTTTTGGTCATCTCGAACCCTGTGCCTCGAGGTAGAACCTGCTCAGACACCAAAACAAACAACAAACGAAATTTTTCTGCCCTAGTTTTCACTAGGAAAATTTCGTGAGTTATTGTAACAAAACTCTAAACTATGTCTTTATTAAAAGTAATAAAGTGTCAGGAATGGTGTACCTTATATTAACAAATATATCAGGGAGTGATGTACCCTGCATTTAAGCTCAAATCAACTAGGGAGTGGTGTACCCTATGTTGGAAAACACAGCTAGGGATTGGTGTACCCTAAACTGGTAAGGAGACTAGGGAGTGGTGGCCCTATGTCTAAAATAAAATCAACTAGGGAGTGGAGACCCTATGTTTATAATAACAACAACTAGGGAGTGGAGACCCTAATTGGACAAGGAGACTAGGGAGTGGTGACCCTATGTCTAAATAAAATCAACTAGGGAGTGGAGACCCTATGTTGGAAAAGGAGACTAGGGATTGGAAACCCTATGTCTAAAATAACATCAACTATGGAGTGGAGACCATATGTTGGAAAAGGAGACTAGGGAGTGGAGACCCTATGTCTAAAATAACATCAACTAGGGAGTGGAGACCCTATGATGGAAAAGAGACTAGGGAGTGGAGACCCTATGTCTAAAATAACATCAACTAGGGAGTAGAGACCCTATGTTGGAAAAAAAGACTAGGGAGTGGAGACCCTATGTCTAAAATAACATCAACTAGGGGGTGAAGACCCTATGTTGGAAAAGAATACTAGGGAGTGGAGATCCTAGTCAAAAATAACATCAACTAGGGGGAGAGACCCTATGTTGGAAAAGAAGACTAGGGAGTGGAGACCATACGTCTAAAATAACTTCAACTAGAGAGTGAAGACCCTATGTTAGAAAAGAAGACTAGGGAGTGGATACCCTATGTCTAAAATAACATCAACTAGGGAGTGGAGACCATATGTTGGTTTACCCTATACTACCATGATTTTGAAACTTCTTTATTTCTTTCTTTTTTTCATCATTTTCATCATCATTTTTTCATTTTTCTTTATTTTAGAGAACGAGTAAATGCAAGAAAGAATTTTGGAGGAGACTTCCCTTTTGGAGTTGTTGCTGCAAAGTTGTTTCTAGCCCTCGTGCAATTTCTTTTTGGTTGCACCTGCTTTTCACAAGATTGCTTTTGGATTGCACCTGTTTCCTGTTTTTTCAAACAAAGAACAATATGTCAGTTTGAAATGGTGGTTGGTTTTGTGGCCTTGAGCGTTTCAGTCACTTGATCTCGGCTCGGCTTCTTTGATGATGATTTTGACTGCAACTAGTTGTTTCCTGGATACCGATTGCATTTCTGGCCCCATAGAACCTTTGGCTTTTCCAAATTTTTAACATGACGGTTGGTCGCATGGGACTTAACCTTTTTCAACTTTATTTTGCCTTCGTAGGCCTTTCATTTCTGACTTCTGTCTTCCAATTTTAATTTCAAAGCATTTAAGTACCTAGACTTTTCAAACCTTGCCAAGATGGTTAGCCACGTGAGACTCAACCTTTTCAACTCCATTGACATTATAAGCACTTCATATCGATTTTCTCCTTCCAAGAGTTTTGATTTCGAAGCATCGGCCGCCATGGCCAGTCGAGATTGACTTGATGCTCATGCCGAGGCTAGGTGTCTCTTGAATATCAGCTTGTGGCAAACGAATGTCCTGTAAATTAGTCTTGCCATCCCTTCTTTGTCTTAGTTTTTGAAACAAAGTTAGACCGAAAGGGATTCAAAGAAAAACAAGTAATGGAATGGAGAATGAGTTTAAACAAAAGGTATCCTTTTCGGGGAAAGGAAAGAAGGACTTATCTAGAGTACATACAGACTTCAATGAACATGACATGCCTTTTGGACTGGATGTCTGATCTGTGTAAACCGTCCAACTCATAGAAATTCATCAGAAATTTTGCCTCGAAACCGAGAAACCTTGCCCGGGACTATGTTGATGTCAATGGTTGTGAGGATCCTCTTTTTTCGATCAGTGCCGCCCTTTGCGCGTTTTCACGAGCGGACCTCTCTCATTTCTCTTATCGCCATCGCCTTGTAGTGTTCTTTGCGAGATTTCACTAACAAGACTCTCTCATTTTTATTTCTTTACTCACCGTTGCCTTACAGTGCCCGTGAGGGTTTTCACACATAAGACTCTCTCATTTTATTTTTCTCATTTTGGTTTTATCGGATCAAAGTAACTGTATCCTCCAATTCTTGAACATTCTCATTGATCGATCGGAAGGACTTGAAAAGGATTTGGATAAAATGAATTTGGATTGAATTACCACTTTGGAACCTTTCAGGCGAAACCATCCCCGAACCATTATAACAGCTGCCTAGTTTCAACTTTTGGGGGAATGTAGATTTTTGTTTTGGTGTGACTGAACCCTGAGAGAGGACGTGTCCTTTCAGAATCATGTCAAACGTAGTTCAATAAATTTATTTTTTATTTTCTTTTCTTTTGTTTCTTTTTTTTTCATCCTTCATTTTCATTTCATTTTTTTCAATAATAACTTTCAGGTTCCAAAGAGAGTAATCAAAGAAAGGGAACCGGCTCAAAGGGTTTGCAAAGGATTGATAGTGTTTTGGATAGCGAGAAAGAAAGCCTTTGTCATCCCAATAAGAGCATGTTAAAGCTGTAAAAAGGGGTCAAATCCTATGATGTCTCCCAGATACAGCGCTCCCTTCGGCAACACACTTCTTATAATGTACAGACCTTTCCAATTTGGAGCAAATTTTCCTTTTTCTTCTTTATGATGTGGGATAATACGTCTCAGAATGAGTTGCCCCACTTCCAATTTTCTGGGCCGCACTTTCTTGTTGTAGGCACGGGCCATTCTTTGTTGGTACAACTACCCGTGGAAAATTGTAGCCATTCATTTTCATCAATCATAGTCAATTGTTCCAATCGGGTTTTGACCCATTCATCATCCTCGATCTAGGCTTCAACGATGATCCGAGATAGAATCTCAACTTTTGTAGGTATTACGGCTTCAGTGCCATAAACCAATAAAGCGTATCTCCAACTGATGTGCGCGATATCCCAATAGTGCAAAGGGAAACTTTTTATGCCATTGCCTAGAACCTTGAACCATTTCTCTGAGGATCTTCTTGATGTTCTTGTTTGCCGCTTTAATAGCGCCATTAGCTTTGGGTCGATAAGGGGTAGAATAACGGTGCGTAATTTTAAATTGTTCGCATACCTCCCTCATCAAATAGCTGCTCAGATTTGCAGCATTGTCTGTAATGATAGTTTTAGGAATACCAAAAAGACAAATAATGTCCGAATGCACGAAGTCCACTATAGCTTTCTTAGTGACAGCTTTGAAAGTGACAGCTTCGACCCACTTTGTAAAATAATCAATAGCAACTAAGATGAATCTATGCCAAGATTTCGGCTCTATTGGCCCAATAACATCCATGCCCCAAGCAACGAATGGCCAAGGTCCTGACATATGATGTAACTCTGAAGGCGGTGCATCAATCAGGTCGTCGTGTATCTAGCAGTGATGGCATTTCCTGACAAAACTAAAACAATCTTTTTCCATGGTCATTTAGTAATAACCCGCCCAGAGGATTTTCTTTGCAAGGACATACTCGTTCATGTGAGGCCCACATACTCCGGAATGCACTTCATTCATGATCTTTTCAGCTTCTCGGGAATCTACGCACCTCAAAAGATTTAGATCTGGATTTCTTTTGTATTGGACCTCTCCACTCAAAAAGAAACTGCTTGCAAGCCTTCTGGTAATTCTCTTTTAATCTCCACTGGCCTGCTCGGGACATTCTTTTGTTTTCAAAAACCTTTTGATATCATAATACCATGGCTGAACATCTGGCTCCATTTCAATTGCGTTACAATAACCATACCTTTCTCAAACTTGGATTTCTAGCGGGTCAGTATGAACATTACCTGGGTATGGCAGCATTGAGGCCAAAGTAGCTAGTGTATCAGCTAACTCATTGTGGAATCGAGTGATATACTTGAACTCGACGGACTTAAACCCTTTGCTGAGATCTTCCACATGCTGCTTGTACGGGATGAGTTTGATGTTCCGAGTTTCCCATTCACCTTGGGCTTGCTGAATGATTAAATCTGAATCCCCCATGATTAGTGATTTCGATACATCTAGATCAACTGCCATGTTCATTCCCATGATGCAAGGTTCATACTCAGGGGTTTTGTTTGTACAGAAAAAACAAAGATGGCCTGTGGCCGGATAGTGCTGAGCCATGGGCGAAATCAAAATTTCCCCAATCCCCTACACCTTTTGCGTTTACGGCCCCATCAAAGAACATTTTCCAAGTAGTGATGTTCTCTGGAATTGCTTCAACTGAGTTCACATTCTCGTCTAGAAAATAGTGCTTAATGGTTGATATTCATCATCGATCGGGTTCTCGGCCAGGTGATCTGCCAAGGCTTGAGCTTTTATTGTCGTGCAAGTGACATAGACTATGTCAAACTCGGTGAGAAAGATCTGCCATTTTGCTAACCTTCCAGTGGGCATCGGCTTCTGGAATATATACTTCAAAGGATCCATCCTGGTTATGAGATGTGTTGTGTAAGCCAGCAAGTAATGTCTGAGCTTTTGGGCGACCCAAGTTAGGGCGCAACAAGTTCTTTCCAACAAAGTGTACTTGGCTTCATAACTGTGAACTTCTTGCTCAGATAATATATGGCTTGTTCCCTCTTCTCGGTTACATCGTATTGCCCCAGGACACGGCCTAAAGAATTTTTCGGGACTGTCAGGTACAAGAACAAAGGTCTTCCTGGATCGAGTGGAACCAACACTAGCGGAGCAGTGAATCTGCTGATGTAATTCAGCCTCCCTAGTAGACTCATGACCTCATTCTTTCTCTTTGGAGGTGGAAGATCCCAAATAAACTTTATCTTTGTTGGATCTAATTCGATACCCCTCTGACTGACTATAAACCCCAGAGCTTCCTAGATGGAACTCTGAATGCGCATTTAGCTGGGTTCAATTTCAAATCATACCTGCACAGACGCTCAAAGAATTTTCTCATATCTCGCACATGGACTTCTTGCTTTCTGAATTTAATGATCACATCATCCACATATACCTCAATCTCCTGATGCATCATGTCATGGAAGATGGCAGCCATAACTCTCATGTAGGTTGCCCCGGCGTTTTTCAGACCAAATGGCATGACCCTATAACAGTAAGTGCCCCAAGGTGTGGTTAAAGCAGTCTTTTCTGCATCTTCTTCATCCATCAGAACCTGGTGATACCCAACATAACAATCCACGAAAGACTGTTTCTCATGTTTAGCACAGTTGTTAACAAGAATGTGGATATTTGGCAATGGAAAGTTATCCTTAGTACTCGCCTTGTTCAAATCTCGGTAATCAACACACACTCAAGTTTTTCCATCATATTTCGGCACTGGAACTATATTAGCCAGCCGCATGGTGTATCGGACCACTTGAATCACACCAGCTTTCATTTGTTTGGTGACAGCTTCCTTGATGTTATCAGTAATGCGGTTTTGAACTTTCTTTGCTTCTGTTGGACAAGTGGATAACCGGGATAGGTAGGAAATTTATGTACCACCAGATAAACGCTCATCCGTAGCATATCATCATAATACCATGCAAACACGTCTTTGAATTCAAACAAAAGTTGGATCAAGGCATCTCTAGTTCTTTCGTCAGCGTGAATGCTTATCATGGTTTCTCGGATCTCTTTTGAATTGCCCAAATTAACTGGCTCGGTTTCATTTAAGTTTGGCTTAGGCTTATTCTCAAATTGTTCCAATTCTTGATTTATTTCCATAAAAGCCTTATCTTCATCATATTCTGGCTCTTGATTCATTATTTCAAAGTTAGACAGCATTTTAGGATTAGGGCATGAAGTCCGCAAGCATGTAATGTTATTTAAGTCGGCATTATTAGAACTGAAAAGAAAAAGATAAAAAAAATAGCAAATTTAGAACAGAAGAAAAGAGATATCTATGGACGATGAGATATTGATTCCATTTCAATGAATTGAAAGATATGAGGGTTTACATCATAATTAAAATACAATAAAGTAAAACATTCGAGTTACACCCTGAAATAATTCGTAATGCAGAAGAAATGGAAAGACTGAATTACTGAGACTCCTGCCTTACAAGGAATGGGGTAGCTTCCCAGTTTTGGAGCTTGAAATTAAGTCCCATATACTGCACCTCGACACTTCTTGTGCCTTCCCCTGGCTGGACCATGTGGGACTCGTATAACATTTGTTTCAAGGCTTCGCAGATATCATTGATTTCTTCAACCGTGAAGGCCTCTTCTTCTTCTTCTTCCACATACCTTGGCTTGAAAAGTGATTGGGAAAGATGTGGAATGGGCTGGGACAGGACCCAACTATTTTCTTTCGCTTGTCAACCCATGTTCTGTCGGCCTCTGTAGCTCAGAAACCTAAACCAAAACACTTTTCATTGACCATTGGGGAAAAGGGCACAGTAATGCCCTGCAGAGAGACGACCTTTTCCGGGCTTGTACCCATTTCTAATCATTTGGGTGGTGACCATGACCGAAGAATTAGACAACCAAGGTTGAGGTAATGGGGCCCCTTCTTCAAATTGGTCAGCAACCACAATTTCGAAAGTTTGATAGACAATATGCTCACTGCCTTCCGGGGCTTCAAGACAAGGGACTGAAGGGTCCCGGTAGATGGATTGCTCATCTTATCCATGGACAACAATATCTTGATTATCATAATCAAACTTGACCATTTGGTGAGAAGTGGAGGGAATAGCTCCGGTAGCATGAATTATCGTCTACCCATGATGAAATTGTACAAGGTTTCCATGTCCAAAACTTGGAAGGTCACATCAAAATCTATGGGCTCAATCGTCAGAATCAGATAAATTTCTCTTATTGTGTCTCTCTTGACCCCGTCAAAAGCTCGTACACAGACATTGTTAGCCCGAATTCTTTATGTTTCGATCTCCATCCTTTGGAGTGTTGAGAGAGGGAAAATATCTACCCCGGACCCACCATTTAACATCACTCTTTTCACATAATAGCCCTCATATTTGACAATCAGGTGGAGGGCTTTGTTGTGGGCAGCTCTGTAACACCCCATAAAATTGAATCAGTTGTGGATGCATTAAATGAGTATTCATGTGATGTTTATCAATTGATTATGATAATAAGTGTACGACGCATATCATAAGTGATTTGGGGTCCAAGGAGAGGCCTAAGTCTAAGCCAAGTTGGAAATTACATGATAGACTAAAAATTCCATATGAGTACGCACAAGACCAAACTTTGCACGAGCATATCTATATTTATATAAGGTATTATGTGATTCACAACCTATGAAATGAAATATCTTTGAGTCTAGTTTCTAACGCTTCAAACCGTTCGTCATTTGGACATTCCTACAAGAAGTTATGACCAAATTACTAAAGACATACCACCCAGTTATTTTGGCGGACAGCGAAGCGAGCTCGCTTCGCCAAAGTAGACGCGGATTTTGTCTTCCCTTGAATGCAATGGACAGCGAAGCGAGGACACTTCGCTAGAGTAGACGCGCCCCAGTCCCATCTCTTTTAAGCCAATTTCAGGGTTCATTTTTCCCTATTTCTTTTGGACGAATTTTGGGGTCTTCTTCCACCCTCTCAAGACCTCCAACCCCTCCCATCTTCAAGGTAGGCAATTTCCATTAACTTGGTGTGAAATTCCATCATTCTTACACTAGTATTGATGAAATCTACTCATAGAACACATAGATCTTCAAGAAATTTCTTCAAGAACTCAAAGGAGGGTTTTGCAAAATTTCTTCCAAAAGGTAATCCTACACCCTTACACTTACATATATGAATTTATTATGGGTATAGGAGTGTGAATTAAGTATTGGGACTCTTGATGTGGTGATTAGAAGCCATAAGTTCCTAATATAAATACATAATTATTGTAGAGATTGGAAGGTGATTATTTGATGGAATTTTGTTGGTTGGGTGTAGATGGATTGTAATACATGTGATGTTGGAAGTTATAAATTGGTTAATCATGATGGTGGAATAAATTGTTGATGAATGGTGGTAGTTAGATGAACTAATATTATATGGCGATGAGATGTAGAGATTTATGCCTACAAGGTGTTTGATAATATGCCTAAATGGCTTAAGTTCTTGAATTGTAATATTAGGTTCCATTGGATGTTGCTATTGTAGATTGAAGGTTCCTAGTATTGTGGATCATTGTAGTATCACTAAGGAGTGAAATTGAGGTATGTAAGGCTAACTCTTTACGTTTGGGAATGTCTATGATTCTCCCTACGTCCCATTCATATGATCATTACCAGTTTCCTCAGAAAGTAACTATGCCTTAACTCCCTGAATTGTAGTCGAACTTCTATTCTCTAGATGGCATAGTCTCATAATCCTTCGATATTCTATGAGTTTCAGTTATGACAAATCAACTTATTGTGAATACCCATCTCAGTCTAATCCTATTCGCTATTCCAGTATCATATAACTTGGTATGGCTCATTATTTCAGTATCATATATTGTAATATGATTCTCAGTTCCTGATTTTATATTCTTGAATGTTGAACACCTGTGTTTGGGCCTGAGGCCGCACTTGCACACACACACACACACACACACACACACACACACACACACACACACACACACACACACACACACACACACACACACACACACACACACACACACACACACACACACACACACACACACACACACACACACACACACACACACACACACACACACACACACACACACACACACACACACACACACACACACACACACACACACACACACACACACACACACACACACACACACACACACACACACACACACACACACACACACACACACACACACACACACACACACACACACACACACACACA